CCCTTGGTATCAGCTCCTTTCCCCCCCACCCCCACCCCCGCCTCACCCCATAAACTTTTTGAAGGCCCTTCCTATTGGCCAAGCCACAGTCAGCAGTCCAGCCCACATTCCGTCAGAGGGGACACAGGCACTACGTCTCTGGGTGGGAGTCGCCACAAACCCATTCTGCAAGGATACTGATGTTTCATGAGAGGAAGCACTTTAGGTCATTTCTGGATGCCACAGGAATGCTTAGGATGGGGTGAGCGATCTGTCAGCACGTGGCGGGGGTGCATTGAGGGTCCCCAGCTGATTGGCCCTCAGAACTGGAGTAGGCCTTATACAGTGACATGATTGGTGGTGGCACAAACCCTTCACCAGGTGACTCGATGTCATTGTGTGGCGCGGGCACTGAAAGGAAAAGCGGGATTGTGCCCCGCTGATCTTGCACCCGCTTTGCCATCAATGACCTTCCAGTCCTGTTCCTTCCTCTCCCAGGTGAACTCCTCCCTGCTGACCTCCAACTGTGGTGAACGCTGCTCCTGCTCCCCAAGCGCTGGCCTCACATGCCAGGCAGCCGGCTGCCCCGGAGACCGAGTGTGTGAGGTTCAGGCCGGAGTCCGGGACTGCTGGCGCCCCCGTGGCCTCTGTTCCCTCTCTGCGAACACCACCCTCACCACCTTTGATGGCGCCCACAATGCCATCAGCTCCCCTGGCATCTACGAGTTCTCTTCCCTGTGCCCAGGACTGCGGAAGACCAGTCCCTGGTTCCGCGTGGTCGCTGACGTCCAGTTCTGCCACGACAAGGCGGAAGCCGTGAACCAGGCTCACGTCTTCTTCCGGGACGGGGTGATCACTGTCACCCCGAACCACGGCGTGTGGGTGAGTCTGGGCTGTCTCTCTCCCTGTGGTGGCCGCCGCCTACCTTCCGGGCTGCCTGGCTCTCTCGCTCAGCACTGTCGTCACCCTGGTCTCTGCACTTGGGTCTCCAGCTTGGTAATCATCTCAGTAGTTCCGGTTTAAGTCTCTCTCTGCCGACCAAATTCTTAACAAACACCCCAAGAGGAGAACATCCTCCAGGAAGTTAAGTTTGATATTTGAACCGAGGAAGACGCCACTGGTTGCAAGTGAGAGAAATCAAGAATTGGCTGGAAACCCACATTCAAACCCACCCCTCCTCACCCCGCCCATGCCCCCCAGTCACTAGCACCCCAAGGGACAGGGTAGAACAGCCCTTGCGGGGTTTCTGAGGCTGCAACTCTTCACGAGAGTAGAACATTGTTCATAAGTAAGCTCTCCCCTCACAGGGACATAAAGGACCTTCCAGCCGTGGCAGGCCCACCTCGCTGCGCCCACTTAGCCACTTCAGCAGAAGGCGATACAGCGAAAAACCCCGGATTATGTCTCACGGGCCCAGTTTGAGCCGCAGGCCCACCATGGGCTATTCAGGAGGAATGCTGTGTTTCTGTCTGGTCAGGCTGGGGCTCATGTATGTGTCGGGGGTCCCCAAGTCCATTCATGCCCAGGTTCACGGATTTGCCAGGGATTCACAAGACTCGGCGGTTGTACCCATAGCCAAGGGTTATTACAGGACAAAGGTGACAAGGCAAAATCAGCAAAGGACAAGGCCATGGAGTAAGGCTGGAATCAAGCCATCAGGAGCTTTCCAGCGTCCTCTCCCCAGGGGATTACAGCCCACACACAGCCCCCTGTCCGTGAGTCGATTCCAATTCATGGTGACCCCCTGCAGGGTGTTCGAACCTGCTTTTCCATTATGGGAGCAGATAGCCACATCCCTGGGGTGAGTTTGAACTGCCTGCCCTGTGGTTAGCAGCTCAGCGCCTAACCCACTGCACCATCAGGCCTCGCGCTTCCTGCACCTACGAGTGGGGACAACACAGGTCTACCAGTGCCCAGGGTGGGGCCTGGAGGCTGGCCCTGTCGGCGGGATCAAGGTGGGGCTTTCTACTCCTGTAAAGAGCCAGTCTTGGAAGCTCACAGGGGCAGTTAGTTCACTGTCCTGTAGGGTCGCGATGAGGCCTCGGATCAATGCCAGGGAGTCTATTGGTTTGGTTGTTTTTTGTCATATAGGCACCTTGGCCTACCAGATAGCAAAACCCCAGGCGCATGACAGGACAACTAGGAGTTTTGCATAAGCGACATCACTTCGACATACAGTTTCGGGCACAGGGAGCTGCTCTTGTCCCTTGTAAGAACCATGGGAACGCTGTAGGCAGTAATACATGTCTCCAGACAGCAGCCACGCACCAGCGTTGGAAGCCGCCTTCTGCGGCTAGGAGTCTCGGGCCTGCTGTGTGAATAACCCTTTTCTGCACCACAGGCGCTAGGTTCGGCGTGGGCTATGGGTAGAGGCTGGAATGAAAACACCGAGCAAGTACAGCTGCTGGGCAGACAGGAGCGCTTCAGCACAGGATTTCAACAAGCAGTGATAGCTGATGCCTCCATTCTGTGTTGTTTCCAAACAGATCACCCCAAGGCCCAGCCGTTACATCCCCAGCCTTTATCCTCTCCGGCAATAGCTGAGGGGGAGGTAGAGAGCAGCCGCGGCCGTCACTGGGTGATCCCGGCCCGGCCACTCTCCCGAGCGTGCAGTCTAAGCCGGGGGTCAAGGCTGCCGTCTCAGGAGACTTGTCTGGGGCTGGCGGTGCCACTCCCCACTCGCTCATGGGGCTGTTGGCTCCAGTCCCTTCACCACGTGGCCTGCTTCCCACAAAGCCAGCGGGTTCGAGAAAAGGCGACCGAAGCCACAGCCTTTTCGTCACCTAACGTCAGGAGAACCACGTGGCCAACTTCTGCCATTTCCTATTGGCCGTGCAGACCACACCGGATCTAGCTGTGGGAGGGACTTAGGCAAGGGCCCCCCAGTGCCAAGAGGCAGGCTTGTGGGTGGCTGCCTGGGAAGCCGATGACAATTTTTCCCCACCTGCCTTTCAATATCGGTTCTCTTTTCTGTCTTTTTTAACTGTTGTCTTTTTGTAATGGACGCGTTCATTCCCCTGAAGTTGGACTCGGCAGCAAAGTGTCTTTCAAAACCAGCTCCTCTTTCTTTTGAATGCTTTCGTTTCTGAGTATTCCTCTGGCAGATGATTGGGAAGGTGGGCAGGTGGCTAGTAAGGTAGTGAACGTTGGATGAATGCAGGAATGGGTGGACAGTGTGCCCTTTCCTGGGAGCTCACTACGCCCTGGATACATCTGTGGTCCTCCCTGCAACATCGTCTATCACAGGGGTCCCTTCCTCTCCTCATATGACCCAGAGGGGGAAACGGGCCCCACGGAGGGATGTCATTACTGAAGTCCCATTCACAGAGTGCACGGGAGACTCCGGCTCTGCACCCTAGACTCACACCCCGTAGGGTTCCGTTTCCAGCCTCCCAGTCATGAGACCTGACTCTCCTCCCTCCGGTGGTGTGCCCATCGTCACATAAGGCACGACGCTCCAGCCCTTTCCTCCCTCGCCAGCTGTGCCCCAGCCTTGCTGCCCATCTCCCTCTTTGTACAAAAGACCAATCACCGTCCTACCCCAGGGCCTTTGCACCGCCTGCTCCAGCAGCTTTGGTGCTGTTCTCCCAGAGTCTCCAAACATCAGCTCCTCTCCTCCTTCCCCATTCTGGCATCGCTTGTGCAGGGATCAGAGCTTCCCGACCGACCGCGCTACCCCTGGGAGCTGCCCTCCTCCAGCCAAGTCTCGGTCCTTTGTCACTTGCCGTTTGGCGTTCTTTCAAAGTGCTTCTCGGTATCTGAAGTTATCAATGGTTTCTTGGTGTGTTTGTTGTCTCTCTACATCACTAGGACATACATGTGGAGAGGGCAGGGGGCCTGTTTATCCTGGTCACTGATTTGTCCCTAGAACTCAGAGCATGGTCTAGTACCGAGGACCCTGAGGGTGTTCAGGAAACACTTGGTTTCCTCCACAACTCAACCCTGGTCCCTTGGTGTCAACAGACAACTCAGACGCAGTCTGACACCGGAGGAGCTTACAGCCCGGTGGAACTTGGCATTCATGTCTCTGCCTAACCATGCATCCTTCCTCCCTCTTTTCTCTCTTCCTTCTTTCTTCCATCTTTCACGCTCTTTCTAGCCATCTGCCCACCTTCCCAATAAGGCAGAAACAAAAGCATTCAAAAGAAACCAAAAAAAAAAAAAAGGACAGGAATTTTCTTTGAAAGACAATTCACTGCCGAGTCTTTAGGGGAAGGAACTCGTCCACTAAAAAAGACAAAAGCTATTGAAAGGGAGGGAGAAAAAAACCCACACAGGGTAATGAAGGTTTCTGAGTCCACAGGTCTACGGTAGAGAAACACTTGTTTTCTCTTAGGGTTTTTTATCTGCTAAGCGCATTGCTTGTCCTCATTCAGCATTACAAAAATAAGGCGTAAAGCTCACTTGCTTAGGGAACCAGGAACTTACAGGGCAGGCTCAAGGGTTCTTTTAATGGCAAATTAGGCTCAGACAACGTGGCCTTGAGATTTTGTTTGCTTGCTCCGCTAGCTGGTACAAAATTCTCTCTTTTTTGTTCCCCACCGTAGCGTTGAGAGCTGTTCATGTCCATCTAACCATCTGTCCATCTGTCCATACATATATACATACATGCATGCATGCATGCACACACACATACATGCATGCATGCATATCTCCAACCATTGCCTCGTGGATCCACCTCTCCATGCCATGCTACCATCTAGACCTTCCTCTCTTTCAGCACCTACCTTGGCTCCTTGAACTTACTACCTTTCTTGGAAGCTCTCCAGCTCTTCAGTGGGTCTTGCCTCACCTCTGTGTTTGCCCCTTTACTGCCACCAGGTGAACGGACGCCGAGTAGATCTCCCAGCTGATGTGTTAACATCTGTGTCCGTGAGTCTGGCACTTGATGGCTCTGTGGTACTCAAGCAGAAGGCAGGAGTCCAGGTGACTCTTGGGACCAATGGGAAGTTGCTTGTAATGGTCATCGATGAGCGCCGGGGAATGTTGTGTGGCGCCTGTGGGAACTTTGACGGGGACCAGACCAATGATGGGCATGACTCCCAGAAGCCGGCGATGGAGAAATGGAGAGCAAAGGACTTCTCCTCATGGTGAGGGATGCAGCGTGGGAGTCCTGGGGCAGGGACAACTGGGTCCTCATGGGATGGGACGGGACAGTCAGGGTAGGTTCTCAGTCTGCAGAAGGAGGTGCTTAGTATCTGTCTTTTGCAGCTACAACTGATCGGTCACCCGACAGGAATGCAGACCTCAGGACCTGATCCCTTGGAGGTTTCAATGATTGAAGGATACATTGGGTGCCTCTACCCTCTTCTGCCCCTTCACTGAGCCAGGGAGGGTGAGTGCAAGAGCCCTGAATAAATACTGTACACCAAGCTCCACCCAGATGTGTCTGCCTCATGCCTTTTCAGGTGGCTTCCTACCTTTTCTCCCAGCAGGCATCAGGGGGCTGGGGGACCTGGCACACAAGGAAGATTGGTGGGGGTGGATGTGAAAAATAGATAGATAGATAGATAGATAGATAGATAGATAGATAGATAGATAGATAGATGAAAAGGTGGATGAGTGGATTGGGAGAAGGATGGGTGGAGAAATATGAAGATGGGGAAATAACTTGATTGGATGGATGGATGGATGGATGGATGGATGGATGGATGGATGGATGGATGGATGATGGAAAATAACATGATTGGATGGATGGATGATGGAAATGGAAAATAACATGATTAGATGGATGGATGGACGGATGGATGGATGGATGGATTAAAGATGGGGAATTAACATGATTGGATGGATAGATGGATAGATGGATGATGGAAAATAACATGAATGGATGGATGGATGATGGAAAATGGGAAATAACATGATTGGATGGATGGATGATGGAAAATGGGGACATAACATGATTGGATGGATGGATGAAAGATGGGGAATTAACATGATTGGATGGGTAGATGGATGGATGGATGGATGGATGGATGGATGGATGGATGGATGATGGAAAATGGGGACAGAACATGATTGGATGGATGGATAGATGGATGGATGGGAAGATGATGAATGATCAGATGGAGGGAAGGAGCAACAGATGGAAAGTTCCATCAATTGATTCTAGCTTTATCATGTATAACCCTAGCAAGTGACTAAATTTCTGTGTGGCTGGCTCCTCCTCTTTAGAGTTATGGTAACACAGACCCCAGCCAGGTGAAGTGAGGGCTAATTCATTTCATATTTTTGAGAGGTGCTGGGTCTTTCTTTGGAGGCCCCTCTGCATAAACGAGAACCTCCAGCTTTTCAGCCGGCAGTGGTCAAAGGGGCTTGGGGGTCAGCGTCTGATCTCCACTCATTTCACCAGGAGGGGAGGAGAACCACACCCCACATCAGCCCAGGGCTGGTTCCTATGAGGCAGAGGTCAAACATGCTCTCACGGTCCAGCCCTCCTTCCCATGGCACTCTCTGCTCCTCTACTGAGACTGAAGATTCTTCACAGGAGCCACACGCAGCCCACAGACCATACACACAGTTATGGGGCCTGTTAGGGGAGCTAACAGATCACAATTCAGGACCAGACATGCTTAAGACACAGATCTTCAGGCAAGACAGTCTCGGCTGAGCCCGCGGGCGCCTCTCTCTGATCTTGAGCCTCTCAGCCAAGCAGCCCCTTGGCCTCTGCCCACCTTAGGCCAATGTTATAGTGTTCCCTTGGTGCACTATACACAACTTAGCACTTCATGACATGATACGCTTCAGCCTGAAGGTGCTCTACCCTAGCTCTGTGGGACAGCAAGCCTACCTCCCCCAATTAGTGCCTGGAGGTACCCCATTTTGAAAGCGAGCCTCCGGCCCCCAAACCACTCCACCTTACAGGCTTGTCGGCCAGGAAATCCACCCCCCTGGTCGTGTTCTTGGTGCTGCTCCCCCTGCTGCTGCCACTTCCCCAGTGTCACAGCTCTGTCTCCTGCACTGAACAGGCTCAGCAGGCACGGATCTCAAGGTCTAAAGAACTCACTCCACTCCTGGCATTCCTTCCTTCCTTTATTTTTTTAAGTACCTAAGTGTGGTAATTACGTAATCTGTTGTCAGTTCGAGAGGATTACGAGTGAAGAGGCTGGGGAGTCTAGCCTGTCCACCAGGTCATCGCCAATGAGGCCTCTGTGTGGGCCTGGCCTTCTCCTGAGGATTCTGGGGACTCCGGTATTTCCTCCTGGGAAGTGGGAGACACTCTCTCTGTGCTCACTCCCTGAGAGACTCTCTACTGACAAAAGTTCACTTCCTTCGAGACAATCCTGAGAAGCCACATGAAGCTACCCTGAGGCAGTCACAGTGTAGGAGCTGAAGGAACCACGTGGAGACCCCTGCCAGCCCTGAGATGCTTCCAATGCCACTGGATCCACAACACTTTGCATCCACTGGCCTGTGATCTTCCTGCATTCGGCATCATTGCATGTGTTTCGTGAGTCTGAAGAGGAGATTATAGACTAGTATCGAACATATGGGCTAATATCGGACTTATGAACTTGATTTGTACTGGGTTGGGATGTTTTCTCAGTATTCAATTGCTCTTGTATATAAAGCTCTTTTCTATACACACACGTGTGTTTATGAATTTGTTTCTCTAGTGTACCCAGACTAACACATTAAGTGTTTATTAGCAAATGAGTAAACAAATTATGGTACATGCATACAATGGGATACTATACAGCCATAAAGAATAATAAATCTGTGAAATATCTTACAGCAAAATGAATCTGGAAGACATTATGCTTAGCCAATCACAAAAGGACAAATACTGTATGAGGCCACTATTAGTAAAAAATAGGGTTATTTACAGAAACACATATGATTACAAGGGTTGGGAGCATAAATGTAACTAGCTGTTCATCAGTACAAGTATTAAGTTTCAATAATTAATTTAACAAATAATACGGGGTAAGTCTTGGGGTAGGGACATAAATGTGCACAAACATCAAAGATGTACAAAGATAATGCTTACATCCCAGCCTGGTGAGTAGTGTCTGAGGTGTTAGTTCTGTTGACCCTCCTTTGCTCTGAGTGGAAAGAGACTGGTGATCATTTCTCATGTGGCCTTTCTTTCTTGGTGGTAATGAAACCCCACCCCCCACCTCTTCCTGGTTTTAAAGTGACTCACTTTTATACCCAGCAAAACATACCCAGAAACTCCAAGCTCATGGCTATGAAGTCGATTCCAACTCACTGAGACCCCAGAGCAGTGGTTCTCAACCTTCCTCATGCTGCAACCCTTTCACACAGTTCCTCACGTGTGGTGACCCCCCAACCATCAAATTATTTTCGTTGCTACTTCATAACTGTAATTTTGCTACTATTATGAATTGTCATGTAAAGATCTGATATGCAGGATATGTTTTCATTGTTACAAATAGAACATCATTAAAGCATAGTGATTATATGTCACTATATATTGTGAAATATTTATTTCTAATGACAAATCAATGAAAGTTTGTCTTGAAGCATAGTGTAGCATGGGTTTACAGTCTTCACGCCTGGTACTCGTCGGTGGGCGTATCTGCATGAGGGTGGACCCGCCTGGATATGGATAGAGGAGCAGTGTCTCTGTTCCTAAGACCATCAGAAATATGGGTTTTCCGATCATCTTAGGGTGACCCCTGTGAATAGGTCATTCAACCCCCAGGTTGAGAACTGCTGCCCTAAAGGATAGAGGAGAACTGCCCTCGTGGGCTTCCTGAGGTTGCTTCAAATCTTTCTGGGAGCAGAAAGCCTCATCTTTGTCCCATAGAGCAGCTGGTGAGTTCAAACCGCTGACCTTGGGGTAGCAGCTCCACATGTAACCCACTATGCCACTAGAGCTTCTTTATTTGCAGCAGGATGGCAAAATATTCACGTTCCAATTTTTCACAGTTACAATCCTGGTGTCGTGGTTACACAGGAGCCCCGGTGGCATCGTGGTTACACATTGGTTGCTCCCTGTCTGGAGAAAAGGTAGAATGATGAGCGTCAGAGGCGTATGGAAACGGTTAGTCCAGTTGACTACTGGACCTCGCAAAGATCAGTCTCCACAATCCTGGGGCCCGAAGCACTAGATCAAGGTTTCCCAAAGTGGGCAACACCGCCCCCGGGGGAGTGCTGGGAAGATCCAAGGGGGCTGCAAACTCAGTTACCTGTACTTTATCCTGTAGTACGGGCTAGCGTGAGGAAGTTTTTCATTGCTAGAAGGGCTCGGAAACCCACAGGGGCAGTCCCAGCTGTCCTATGGAGTCACCGTAAGGCAGAACTAACTTGATGGCAGGGAGCTGAGTTGAGGGATGTGCCAAGTAATTTTTTGTTCGGTCATTTTTTTCTTTTTGAAAAGGGGGGGGTGATAAAAAAATATTTTTTTAAATAAAAAAGAAAGGGTGGGTGGTAGGCCAATTAAGTCCAGAAACCTACGGATTAGAGAGCTCCTTGTCTACCATGGCCAACTGTTCCGAAAAGGAGCTCATTAAAAAGCCCTGGAGCACAAAAATGTGGAACAAAATTCAAAAATCATAAAAGAGACCAGGCTTACTGGTTGCATAGAGAGGGGTGGAACCCCCAAGACTATGCCCCTTAGTCACCCTTCAGGCCTGGAACTGAACGCAATCCTTTATGATCAAGAGGGCAGGATGTGCCGCGGACAAAGCACAGAGGGCCGAGGAACGTGCAGGAGACCTCGGGAGAACCAGCAAAGGCACACTGAGATCATGAAAGAGTTGAAACAAAACGGGTACAAATTGTTGAATGGAAGATGGATGATCCATTCTATATACCTCCACCTAAGTCATAATATTTTTTATAAGAGCTGTAAGAACCCCCAATACAATACATTTTTTAAAAAACCTTTAAAAAAAGAAAATCAAATGCCAACACTATCCAAAGTGTTACAAATTTGTAAAGAATACAGTTGAGTCTTTATTTTTAGTTTTTCAAAAGAAAACAGCTTCAAGGAACCTAGAAAAATATTCCATCTCTTTCCCCCAAGTGACTTAATAGGCTTCATCTTTACCCCCAAAGTTGCTGCTGACGCTAACATGATCTTTTTAAAAAATCATTTTATTAGGGGCTCATACAGCTCTTATCACACTCCATGCTTACATCAACTGTGTAAAGCACATTTGTACATTCATTGCCCTCATCATTCTCAAAACATCTGTTCTCCACTTAAGCCCCTGGCATCAGCTCCTCATCCCCCCCGCCCTCCCTCCCGGCTTCCCCTCCCTCATGAACCCTTGATAATTTATAAA